CTCTCCACTGTCGCTACAAGCATGCTTAGTGTGAGGGATTGTATTTGAGTCAATGCAATCAACTGGTTTTCCTTAGATAGAAAACTTTGCATCAATTTGACTGTATGATCTGGTTTAACTGTAAAGTGCCTTGAGATGACTTGTGTTGTGAATTTGGCGCTATAGAAATAAACTGAATTGAATTGATTTGAATTAATGTAGAATAGGTTGAACCAGAACTTCAACAATCCTATCAAGCTAATCTGATACAATACAATCCTCCTCATCTATTGACAGATTTTTTTGGACCTTCTACAATCTAGTTGGTCTCACAATAACTCGACATGATGACTTAACCCAGCCTTCTTTAACTTTTAGATTTTTATCAATATATTTTATCAATTAATTACTATATTAACAGGACTTTGCAGGACTAGATTGCAAACTAAGGAGACGTATGGAAGCAGAGACACGTCTAAAAGGTGCAGAACTCTAAACCTCAAGCACCAGAATTGAAAAACCCATTAAGAGCTCACTAAGCCATCCAATCATCATCTGAGTCTCCTAAATGTGTTTCAAAGCAGAGTGATCTTAACTCGTAAATCAATTTAGAGCTAAAAGAAACAATTATGCTGATCTTAGTTTATATAAAACAGAGAAAGTTTAGTGATTTGATGTCAGACTGATAGAGACGTTTATGGCTTTTCCTGCAGCACATGTTAATATCCGGTTTCAGCTGTAGATAGGTGATGTTAATGTGTGAAAAACTGCAGATTGATATTCGGAAAAGATGAGAATTTGACACGGAGCGTTGAACAATGCACAGGTGAGAATCAGACAGTCTTAAGGGGATTTATTAAGGCTCTGGTTTCAGTTTGCTTTTCTGGGAAAAGCTTATCTGGAGCAGATCCAAGAAGGCGGGGACCGTCCTGGACAACTTAATTGCAGATAATTCTGGAGTTTTAACAGGTCTTCTAAAGGTGATGCTCTTTGTTCAGTGTGGGATTATCAACGTATTGAATGTGAGGTATAGAACTTGTGATATACCTGCTATATACCTATATTATATGTCCCTGAATGAACTTCAGGTATGCTAACATAATCAAGTGGGATTCAATATGTCATGTGCTGATCATCAACAGCCATTTCTTTCATGTTAGAGCTGGATATAGCTCTCCCCCTTATGAGCCTGGGAAGGCTGCAGGTTTAGAAAAAAAAATGATACATGAAGTTGGACATCCAAATATTTCATTTAAAAGGAAATAGAACATTGTGTTCTTAAGCAAAACATATGTCAACAATCAGATGAATTTGAGGACAGGAATAATAACATTTCCCACTTGTTTTTTCCTGTAGAACCAGTGATTTTCCACTGGTGGTTTTGTGATGGACTTGGAAAAGGAACATGAAGTTAGTGACATCTAGTGGTCATTCTCTGAAAATACAATTCGTCTCCCAAAAATACTTATGATACTGAAAATTCTGCTGTGAAGCAATGAGAAATGTTATGCTGCATGTAAAAAAAAACAAAAAAAACCATCTTGTTGCTTTCACAAAAATGTGAAAGTATTTAGAATAAAAGTAATATAGTATGAATTGTAAAATAATTGTAGCTTTTATCAACAATAACCACCTTTTTATTCATACCAGCAAAAAACAAAAATAAGAAAATAGGGGCACAAACAAATCTGGACTAAACTGTTGTCTAAACTATGAAAAACATAAATAAATAGCATAGCTGCCATTATGGATCCAGTAGCTCTACTTCTGTGTACATAAGAGCTGCGATGATCTTATGGGAACCAAACATGTCCGAATGAATGAAGACCCACATTCAGTAAGTGTAAAGAAAATCTGAATTTAACATTTACAGGACGTAAGTTCAGCCACATAACAAAGAATTAAAAATGGACAATGACCATAGGAAAAAATGCTTAAATCTCAGGCATTGTTTAGCTTTAACAAATATAATGTTCAAATGATTTAGGTTTTTCATCATTTCTTTTTCAAAAATAAAAGTAATATTTTTCTCTTAAGCCATTAACCCTAATTACATATATATAAAGCATAAAGGCCCATGATAAAACACTGAGTGACTGTCTGCTGGTAAATATACGGAAGAGGATTAGGTCCACTGAAAAAAAAAAAAAGTTAGCTGATTTTTTTAATTTTATCTCAGTTTAATATGTGGAAGAATACTTTTTTTCTCAGAATTCTGACTTTTTTCTCAGAGTTCTAACTTTAATCTCAGAATTCTGACTTAAATCTCAGAATTCTGACTTTTTTCTCAGAATTCTGACAGCTAACAAACATGTTAGCATCAAGCCATAGCCATGTCTGTTTTAGAGACTAGCTCAGACATGGGCAAACTACGGCCCCCGGGTTAGGCTTTTTAATCCGGCCCGCCAAACTTGTCCAAATTACCGTATTTTCATGACTATAAGGCGCACATAAACGTCTTTTTTTCCCCTCAAAATGTGCGGTGCGCCCTTTGGTGCGGTGCGCCCTATGTGTGTTGTAACTGCGACTTTTGAGACCATCATTTGCACCTTCAATTGTCTGGTTT